CGCTAAAAAAGAAGAGTTCGACCCCGATCGAACAATGACGGGTTAATATTTCGACAAAGCTCGAAATAACACTCTCAAGGCCAAGGGCCTCCGCTAAAAGGAAGAGTTCGACTTAGATCGAATAACGACAGGTTAATATTTCGATAAAAGCTCGAAATAACACCCTCAAGGCCAAGGGCCTCCGCCAAAAGGAAGAGTTCAACTTCGATCGAACAACGACGGGTTAATGTTTCGACGAAAGTTTGAAATAATACCCTTGAGGCCAAAGGCCATCGCCGAAGAAAACTGGGACCCACGACGGGATAATACTCTGATATAGGCTCGAAAGTAACATTCCTGCAGCTAAGGTCGCTATTAGAAAATGAATTCGATGCCATTTGGACTATGATGTGATAGTACCTCGACATAAACCCAAAAGCACTGTCCCATCAGCTAAAGCCGTCATCAAGGCTCTACTCAACCCATGTGACATTGAATTCCCTAAGAGTCGGGAACTCATCACGCGGAAATCTACTTCTTTGCACCAAAATTATGAAGAGAAAAACAGGAAAAGAAGTACATAAGGCATATGACAATGGAAAATTCCTCTTTATACAAAGTTATTGCGTGAACAGTCGCAGATTACATACAGCTAAAATCAACGGAGTCCAAGAAAACACAATAAACAACAACTAAGAATAAGAAAATAGATAAAGACAACAGTCCTTTCACTCGGCACCATCTCCAGGAAATCCTCCCTCATCGTCTACGCTCCTATCAGCTTCCGGCGTCGTAGAGTCATATCCACAGTTAACACGAGCCTCTCGTGCCTTCGCCGGTGCTCCTTCATATGCGGCCTCGGCAACATTTCCTGCCTCCCACAAAACCCTTATATATGTCCCGCTGGGCTTCAACATGAACCCAAAGCTTGTGCAAATGATGGGGAACAATGGCGGAGGAAGATTCGACTTGAGCCAACAATTGCTCCTTTTCGGCCTCCAAAGTAGCGACCCGACCCCCTAAGGTCGATGCTTCCTAATCGATCTCTCCAATGCATTCCTCGAGCCTTGCCTCCCTTAGTGTGGCCGTCGCCCTCTCTGATTCCTACTCGAACTGGAGGACGCGGATAATGTTCTCCAGAGTCGCCGCCCTTTCTAAAACCGATGACCAGTCACTCTCGATGTTCTCCAACCTGGCAACCTTTCTGTCCAACTCGTCCAATTTTCCCATCCACTCCGCGCTCATCGCCTTGACCTTGATATGATTCTGATCGATCTCAGACTGTATTGACCTCAGCTTCCCCTGAAGATATTCACACTCTGCAGCAACCCCTTTGCCTAACTCAAGCTCTTCGCCTTTCGCACGAAGTTGCTCCTCGAGCATGCTACTTCTGCGAATGGCCTCCATTAATTGCTGGTACGTATTCACCAATTCCTCGCCAAGGGATCGAGCACCAGGGTTCGCCTTTAGCCGCTCGTGCATCTTACGGAACTTATTGTGATAGCTCTGATACTTCTCCAACATCTTCAGGAAAATATTGTCCCCAATGTCAGCCCTACGAGCACTCTCAATTTCCACCATGTACGTCTGAAAAATGAAAAGATGGGATAAGACCATATCGTCCAGAAAAATAAAAGGAACATGAAAGAAAGGCGAAACATACCCTCAAGCCCATAGCGGCCACTTCATGCATCAAGTCAATATCAGGAACTTTCTGAAGAGCCTCATTTTCGGCAGCAGAACACAAAATGTCGAACAGCGGCACCAAGTCCTCCGTGTCCCCTAGGAGATTAATATCCAATGAGATCTCAAGAATACGAGATGGGCCTCCCGCATGAACCACCAAATGGGTAAGACCCTCTTCAAACATCCTAAAATCATCGTGATCAAGGTTAGACTCAGATTGGTAGTCATCGACCACGACACCCTTTCCCCTTCCAGCGGCCGAAAGGAAGCACGACCAGGCACCAAGGATGAAGGCTCGTCCAAAATAGTAACAGCGGCCTCAGAAATCTGACCCCCCCCCCCCCCCCCCATCGCGGCAGGTTGTTGATCAATGATAGTAGCAGAGATCTCCGTCGATGGGGCAGATACAATGGCTGGCTCTATCTCTATAGGCGAAATGGCATCAACCCCTACCTCAGACGCCGTCAAGGGAAGGTCTTCCTACAGATGTATCACAGCCGAAGGAGCCGTTTCAGAATCCACTCGCCGCCTCTTGGATGGCCCATCTCCTTCCTCGGCACAAGAGGATTCACCCGCTGGATAGGCAATATGGGTCAGAATCTCAGTTTGAGGGGTGGCCTCCGTGGGTATGGCCACAGCCATAGACTCAACTGAAGAGCCCCTCGACAAAAGTCGAGCAGTGGACACTGAAGCAAGGCGAGCCGACGAGGTAGGCTGACGAAAAGCTAGTAGAGGAGCCCTCGCTCTCCACACTCTCATTAGCATCAACGAACATCACATAAGAAACCAAGTAAAAAGGAAAGGGGGAAGAATAGCAAACAAAACGATATCACTCACCAGTAAGGGGCTTGCGTCCATATTTCTCATAGAAAGACGACCATGTACGGATCCCCGCTGTATGAGGAAGGATGGCGCTCACCTACTCGCGGATACTATCAATAGGTGTAGGGGGTAGTTTCGCGGCTGTAAAAACATAAACATTTTAGTACTACCCAAAGGAAAGCGGTCAGACATCCCTCCAACTAAAAGTATAGAAACTAACGTGCTAAGTTCCATTTCTTAGGGAACCCCGTAGGATCCGCCACAAGGTGCTCGGTTCGCACATAGAAGTAATCCTCGTAGAAGCGACGGTTGGCTCTGTCATCTATCTTCACCACCAGACTCTTCGACCCTCGATGGTGCATGTGAATCATCGTGCCACGAATGAGCTGAGGGGCGAAGATATTGAGCATGTGCCCCAAAGTGATCTCAAGACCGGCAAGCTCCGCAAACTTGAGCAGCATGAGGAACAATTTATACAGGTACGATGAAAGTTGAGCTGGGCATACCTCGTAAAAGGTGAAAAAATCTACCACCAAGAGAGGGAGAGGAAGCGTGTATCCAACAATAAAGGGGTAGGCGTAGAACGCACAGTACCCTGGGCGGTCAAAATGGACTATATCGTTTCCCACCGCCGGCAGTATTTCGACGTAGCGAGGGATTCCCTACCTAGCCTTCAATTCTGTGATCCCCTATTCATTTATAATAGAGGAAACAGGTGTCGGATCTTCCCGGCAGGACTATGGAAATCATTCCATGCTTTCCCAAGGCGAGGCAAGATCTCAGCCATCGATGGGATCTCCTCATCTTCTACCACTTCTGCTCCTCTAGTGGCTAGAACATCGCTTTTCGGCACCGAAATTGTGGCAGGGAGGTCAGCACGAGAAGAACCACCAGCCATTTGTATCAATTTGATAAAGCAAAGGGATAAAGAAAAGGAAAGGCGAAAGTTCCTGACTAACTAGAGAAAATCAAAAATCTGAAGTATCAAGAGAAAAGAAGATTCTCAAAGTTCTTTCAAGTAAAAGGCAAAGAAGTGTGTCAATCGAATTGTGCATTCCTTCTATTTATAAGAGACATAAATTCCTCAAGCACGAAACCCAATAGTCGCCAATCGAATTTGATAGGGCATGAAACGGTTCAATTCCCTGGGAATGTGTGTCATAATGGCGGCAACCACGAACAACCTTTCAAGTTAAACGATGTTTCGATTCCGAAACGGCCTCAACGGTTCAAGGATAGCGAAAAGGCGCCATTACGGTACTTGAATCTAAAGACCATACCCAAGGGGTAGGTAGTCAGATTTCTCTCAGATATGTAACAACCATAATCCGTCTGCCAGGATCGACAAGGGACGACCCTGGCAGATGGAGGGACTAACTATATTGGTCAAAATCTAACCGTTGCGGTCGACCCAACCGAGATCCCGTCCAAGCGGCGAGACAGTGGAAGACGACATGATTTGCTCCAAACCCCGTACTCACAATGCCCGCCTAGTCAAAAAATAACACTCAGGGAACTACGAAAGTGGGCGTGGTATGAAAGTGTATTGACCCAAGAACATAGTAAAGATTCTATAACTATATATAAGGAGGGAACCTTCCTAGAAAGGGGGTCTTCTTCTCTTTCTCTTTCCTCTCATCTGTAATCTTCTTAGCAAAGAGAAGACAAAACAATCTTTCATGGAATATGTAACACAGTCATCTCCATCGATTAGTGAGAGTAAAAATGAAAAGCCTCAATGAGATTGATCGCCCCCATTTCATTTTATGCATTATTTTCTGATTTACTTATAGATCTGGAGTTTATTATGTTTGACTAAGATTTACCTCTTCATCTTCTTTAATTGATTTAATCAAAAAGGTTTCAATATCTTTTTGATCGAACAGTTATTACTTCCTTTTGCCTATTTTTCACGTTCTTAGATTGCTGTTATTATCTTTTTGGCCTTTGTGGTTGGTATTGCTTGTTTCTATTGTTGATTTTATCTTCTTGAGCCGAAGGTCTATCAGAAATAACTTATTTACCTCCTAAAGAAAGGGGTAAATTCTGCGTAGACACTATCCTCCTCAGACCCCACCATTTGTAGGACTCCACTGAATTTTTTGTTGTTGTTCTTGTTGTAATTATCTTTTGGAGGCCGAGCAAAGGAAAGTTAGTGGAATTAAGGGGTAAAAATATCTACTATCAACAAGGTTTGACAGAAATTTGTCATTTAAACCAAATTTTAGAATATAAATGATTGTCACTAATAATAAAACCAGCAAAGGTAAATTACGAATTTTGATGGATCGTAAATACTTATGATCTGAAAAAAAATAAAAATATTATTAGTGATGACCGTGTGTCTCAAAACGGATGCTCAAGTGGAAAACCAAAACAGGATTTCTTTCGAGAAAATGAATTCATATTCAAGTTCCAAATTGGCTAGAATAAAAGTAGTAGTATATTTTGTCCTACCGTTGGGTCCCTAATTCAGAAGTTTTTTCAGTTTGAAGATGAGAAAGCCAGTTGGGGACCTCAATAAAATTCTCCTCTCAGCCATTCCCATCAGTTTGATTAATGACTACATGATATGGTTTAACCAAAGAAAATACAAGGAACAAGAAAAGGCCGGTGGGAATCGATTGCAACGTATCAAGATCCCTACATTCGTTAGCCTTTCACACAGTGTATGTTCAATTCTCGTTACATCGTCGTTTCTCCAACTCCCCATCCTCCGCCCCCTTTATATGTAATAGCCAAAAACAAAAATTTACAAGAATATTTCAAGGATAAGCTCCAAAACCAATAAACTAAAGTGTAACACTTGAGATAATGATTTTTTACTATGTCTATGAGCAGGACTAGAATTGAGTCCTAATGTATGGCTTTTGGCTAAATATGGGGATGGAGATAATCCCAAATAAGGAGATATATAATCAGCTGCTGGAGACACCATCGATAACCCTGTACGTTGACTCTGGTTACCTACATATATCAAAAGAAAAGTACAAGTAAAATTAAATGGGATTTTTTCACTTTTAGTCCACCCCAGAAACTATTTATATTTGGTAGTCGAAAAAGTGTATACAAGATGTATAATTTTTGTGTATAACATATAGAATGTATATATATATATATATACAAAATATATAAAAAAAAATCGGCTATTATTTTGAAAGCAGCTATACATTGTCATTTTCTCAAATTAAACTCTTATATATTAGGACTGAGAAATTAAAATAAATATCAAACGAGATAGCATCTTTTCAAGAATTGGGATAGGATTTGTTACCTAAACACTTGGCATCAGTTGAATTCACCAAACTGCAGAACCAAACAAAGAGAGATATTAGTTCTTATTTTATTTTTTTATTTTTATTTTTTTTGCCTGGAGATATTTTCTTAATACCTTCTAAAAGTTTTGCCTCCAAGATGTCCACGATAAATGCAGGCTGTAACATTGCAATTACCAAATGTTGTGTGCTTTTCGTGCCTTTCTCCAATAAAGAGATTGGAGTCTTTGCACTGTAAATGTGAACATTTATCCACAATTCCTGAAGCTGAACACTCCATGCTGTTCGATCAAACATCAAAAGATAAAGTGTTAGAAATTAATTTAAACTTGAAATTGATAAGCAAATATGTATCATGATTATCGAGTTTGAAGTATTGGTTACCTGAGATCAGTAGGTCTGCAGCCACATTTGATGCAGTTGTTCGCAGTTAAAGCATAAGAACCATTTGGAATTATTAGACTTTCGTTGTACCAATTCAGATTTACTGATGAACATGCTGCACTGGACATAATCTTAGTGGCAGAAGAATAAAATAGATACAAAGGTTCAAATTTACTATACAAAATATCTTAATCTCTTATTTGTCATTGACTCAAATGGAACTCCAACATGGACAGAGTGGATTCCATGTGTCCGCTCTATGTTTAAGTAATACGGCTTAAGGTTACCTCTGTTATACTTCAAGTTGGAACTTTATTAAGGACAAATGCTGAATGAGAGGATTTACTAACGAAAAGAATATATGAATGTCTCTATGTATAACATCGGATAAAATTTTGTGTATAGTAGACCTTGTGGTCACCGCGTTCAGGCAGTGTGTATTGAAGGGGAGTCTTGGCGTAATTGGTAAGGCTGCATATAATAGATTTTTATGTGTCCGACCCTTCCCCGACCTCGCAGATAGCAGGAGCTTAGTGCACCAAGCTGCCTTTTGTATAGTAAAATCATACTTTTGACCCTTTCCCAATAAAATGTAGTACTAGTAGGTTTCTTTCCCAGTAACTCTGTGTGTGTGTGTTGGGTTGGGGA